ATCATAAGTAAACACTTCTTGAGGAAGCTTAGATCCATTAATGTTAGATGGAGGCTTATTTTTAGCTCAACAATTACCATGTTGTTAAAATATATATATATTAAACACACTGTCCCACATGGCCTCGTTTTCTTTCCTGTCAAACATTATACATGGCGCTACCCTGACTAAGTCTAACTTAAGATACATACCTGATGAAAGGGAATTCTTCGGTTATATTAACAGTGTTATTAGACACAGCTATGGCATACCTGCACACAAACAAGTGCAGAAAGAGTCAAATAAATAAATGTTTTGTATTGATTTTGAAAAGATATTGAGGATATTAAAAAGGGTGAGAGAAATATTTTGAAAAGAGTGAGAGAAACATGAAGTAATACTCACACAGCCCACATCCCAATAGTCCCAAACACTGCCAGGGTGACAGGAAGTAATGCCCAAGCCCACATGATGGACCAATCAGATCACCTGTAGAAAGACCAAGTGTCTCTTCACATATAAACACACATTTATTAGCATGTATAAATTTCACTGTGACCTAGCAAACATTTCAATGACTGAACAGTTCCCTATAAAGTCTTCACAGGATATTCAACCAAGAAGTGTCTCTTCACATATAAACACACATTTATTAGCATGTATAAATTTCACTGTGACCTAGCAAACATTTCAATGACTGAAGTTCCCTATAAAGTCTTCACAGGATATTCAACCAAAGCATAGAAACGTGTCAAATTATGTATTATATACATTTATATATGGAGCAATAATTATGGATTATACATAAGGAACCTATGAATCAGATGTCAATTCTAGATAAACAGTTAGTAAGTATCTGCTTAGGTTTTTACAACCCCACCTATATAAGATATCACATAGTGTTTAAGGGAGCGTCACGTTTTTCCCCATACACCTGTCCTGGATATAGTGGTGTTGAAAGTCATCTTGTATTTTATTCTTTACTAAAGAACAGCATATGAAAGAGAGTCTTCTTACTTTCAATTCAATTCAAGTTTATTTGTATAGCGCTTTTCACGATACAAATCGTTGCAAAGCAACTTTACAACACTTTACTTTTCTGCCTATTAAAGCCTCAAAACCAAATTCCCTTTCAGCGTTTTTCAAGCTGCACATCTGCCAGTTTTCCTTCAAATGGCAAAGACTGGTATGCAGATATTAAGACTACGGTTTACTGCTTCACTGGGAATTAATATTACTGTCCATCTCCCATGTATTATTTTCTCAGGCCAGCAGAGTAGAATGACATTCCCTTTTATACTTTGGATCTTCTTTTCATTACTCTTGTGGAAATTGTTCCTACCACTAAGATCAGATGTTTACAATCATGTAAAACAGTTTTTATGACAATTATTATAAAATAATCTTAATTCAGGGCAAATGCAAAGGGTTAGACACCAAAGGATTTCTTATACCAGCACAAACCTACAACCGTATGGCAAAAGAGCCAATCATCTTGGGACTGTGTAATTTCTGTGAGTTTACTAAACGGACTAAAATGTCCACAAATAAACATTGGACATGCGAAATATAATAGAGTAAGAAAAGACTACAGAAATATCACAATCACCACTGAAGTGATTTTAGCATGCTAGCTGTACGTTATACAGTGATTACAGCAAAAAAGAAAAACAAAGTGTTTCAGTTTTCATTTACAAAGTGTTCAGTTTAAGAAAATAAACCTAAGATCGTAAAAGTAGTAAGAAATCTTAACTTTGAGGAAAGAGACAATGAATTAAGCAAAAGAAACTGAAACAAGCAGGCATAACTTACATGTCCGTAGGCTATAATTTACTAAGTTACCGTTCAAAAGTTTAGTTAATTTTTATTATACAGCCTATTTATTTTCATTTCGCAAGGATACTAATTCAAAATTTAAAATATAAATGTTTGAAGACGTTTCTAATAAAAGTATGTTTAATGATTTCTGGAGGACCATGTGACACTAATGCATTACATTTCATTTTAATTAAAAAAATAAGACAGCATGTGAGCAAATAAGGGACCTCTTTCAAAAACATTTAAACAATCTTACCGACTCAAACTTTTGAACGGTAATAGCATAATTGAATAGCAAATGAGAAGAACCTCACCTCTCACCTACAACGCTGCTTGTGTAGGCTATAGTACGCGCGTGCGTGCGTGTGTGTGTGTGTGTGTGTGTTCCTAGAAATCAAATCACATTATATCTCACACACACCTGCTTTTCCTTCTTGCAGATAGCGATGCATCACTCAGAAACAGCTGCTTATACCTGCTCGTCAAAGCAATATCAACTCGCATACAGGCAGGCACATATGGCCAAGTGTTCAAGGCGAACTTCAAAATGGAGACAAAATATGACTTTTGGCACAACAGTTTTAAAGTTTATGAGGGATGGCCTTGTTGGCGCATAAAAACATCCAGCGAGCGGGTAAGTTAAATAAATCCTTGTTTAAAACGGGCGAAATCGAAGAAGAATCTCCAGACAGGTTCAAGCAGACCGTGCGTGAACGTCCAACAGGTTTCAAACCATTTGTGAATAACGTTATGGACTTTGCGCCAGATCATAGCATTACGACTACTGCAACCTGTCGACCTTTCCCCTGTCTTGTTCTATTTCACGATTTTTACACCCTCATGAAGAATTGTGCCATGAGTAACACCATATCATTTACACATAATAATATCAGCTGGTTCCTCCCTCCTTTTATTACAGCCAGTTAGCCATTAATTGCCACAGTAACGCAGAGACCTTCTAAATCATCTAAATACTGTCATTACAGTCTTTGTTATTACTTAACATCACGTGAATGTGATTAAAATACCTCAGAAAACTAAACAAAAAATTATATTAGTTTTACAGTTTATATATCTCCTGGATACATGGCCTAACACCCATTAAAAAAGTATAACTTTTTTTAATGGGTATATATATATATATATATATATATATATATTAGGGCTGTCAGTTTGACGCGTTAATTAGTAAAAAAATTAACGCGATTAAAATATTTTAACGCAGTTAACGCACTGGCCCCGCCCCCATACCTGTACATCATCTTACATTTCATAGAGATGACTTTTGACAAATATGATGCAGGGCAACTCCATAAATGCACTCATGCCCTAAAAATCAAGATGTTGGTGCAAAAAAATGCCCCTGTATGACTTTTTTTAATCATATTTATATCATACTATATCACACCAGCAGTGAGAGCGATATCAAGAGTGCTGATTTTGTCCCGAATATCATGAGTTTAAATGTGATTTTATACAACAGTTCAGTAAAAAAGAAGTTGATATTGTGTTATATTTTAAACACAATATTATGTGTTATTGCTCAATTTTGCAGAGAACATATTACCTTTAAAGCCATAGCAGAATTGTTGTGCATCTCTGCCACACAGTGGTGCTTTCTGAATGAATCAGCATTTTGAACAAATCGTGTGAACCAATGATTCAAAACCGTTTACTGAATTCCTGAATGAATCAGCCGTTTGAACGAATCGAATGAAGACATGTACCACCACCCGCTGGCAGATTAGTTTTTTTATTTGGAGTATCATTTCATTAAAAATAAATACATAAAATAAAAGTAATAATATACTAATAATACTACTAATAATAAAAACATTAAAGGGATAGTTGAAATATTTTTTTCTAAAGCTAATGTCTACTTGATATTTTCTCATTTAACACAAAAATAGCTTTTGTGGGTATTTTCAGTCAAATTTATTTTGGAATTAATTAGATTAATCAATCAACACATCATGTAATTAATTAGATTCAAAATTGAAATCGACTGACAGCCCTAATATATATATATATACACACACATTTACATTTAGTCATTTAGCAGACGCTTTTATCCAACGCGACTTACAAATGAGGGCAATAGAAGCAATCAAAAAAGAGCATTAATATGTAAGTGCAAATGACAAGTCTCGGTTAGCCTAATGTGGTACATGTAGCAAGGTATTTTATATACATATACATACACATTCATATACAATATCCTCATTGGTTAAGAGGGTGAAACTCCCCTGACATATGCCTATATAATATCTGTATTTCTATGAATAAATTGAAGTATTGAGGATACATTTGACTGTGTGTTTTCTTACTTCCTGGCCGTCTATCTACACTTTAAGTAACTGAGAATTCTTCAAGGTGGCAAAGAGAATTTACTGAGGGACCAAATTGTTATTCTTTATTAAACAGCTAGTGTTTTAAAAAAAATAAAACAGAATTAAAATAAAATAAAAAGTGCTATCTATCTATCTATCTATATATATATATATATAAAATTGCTATTAAATACCAAGTTATCCTTTGAAGTACCTCTCAAATACCACTTTTTTGTTTGTGTTTAAATATAACATTATAAAACCATCCTGAACTGAAGGCTGGTCTTAGCTGCTTTAAGCTGGTCTTTATCTTGTTGGTTGGTCAGCTGGTCTCCCAGCGTGATGAGCTAAGACCAGCTAAAGTGGTCAAAACCCCTGTAAAACCAGAGCCCTTGACCAGCTAAAGCAGTTTTTTTTTTCAGCAGGGACTGAAATGTTCGTTACATTGACCTTAAAGTCTGTTACATTTACCTTAAAGTCAGTAGTCTTCTCATGCTTGTTTTCCCAAATGCTGCCAAGTTGCTTTTAAAGGGTAATAAGGCCCATTACCCCTTCCCTCCCTCCCAGCCTCTCAAATATATGTATATCTGACAATACAGAAACATTTAAGGGATAAAAGTTACATAATACACTTAAATCAGACAAATTTAACACACCCATATTCAGAAAAGTTCCTCTACATTTTAATTAAAATGTAATTTTTAGATAGGTGTGTGAAAGATCAACTCGTAACAATACCAGAGTAATTATCAAAATTTGCTTTTTTTTTCTTCTTTTTTTTTTTACACATTAAGGTTTACATATTAAAATTACTATACATCTGACTTAGAATTAAATGTCAAACTGCCACATAAAAGACCACACAAAAGATTAAACACCATATTTATTTTAATACTGTTCTGATGTGTCACGTATGTGTTTGTTTCAGAGCTCTAGTTCAATCTTGACATCCATTTTACTCTTGTATGGCTCTAGAACAGGCCTGACCTCCTCAGACAAAAACCTTGTAACCTGAGACAAAGAGAAAGTGGAATGGTATTACAGCTCACATCATTCATAAAACCATAAAACATGATAAACATTAGTAGCACAGCAGTGGACTAACTGTGTACCTGTTGTGGGGCTCGGCCAATGAAGGTTTTGGGGTCCAGTATGGAGTCCAGCTGTCCGAGTATGGAGGTGAAATATGGATCAGCCTGAACCCGAGCCAGCAGGTCATTATCCCCCCCTTCCTGTTTGACTACAGCCGCAGCTTGCTGGGACAGCACCCGAATCTTCTCATGGCAGTCCTGAGTGTGTTTTCATTACACACAAAAATCAGTCAGTCAGTGTTAAACATCCGTTTCTTTCCTGCATGAAAGTCTGCAACATCTACTGTGAGAAATATGTACTGTGCAAGTAATTTATTCAAACACCATGGGTTGATTTGCCAAAGCAAAATGTAATTACAAGACCTGTCTGTTTCCTCCAGCCTTCACCATGGCCATGATGATGTTTTCAGTAGCCATGAAGGGCAGCTCATGACGGATATGCCTCTCAATCACCTACAAAAAGTAATTAAGAATTATAAATTAAAAAAAACAAGTAAAATAAGCTGTCAATTTAATGTGATTTATGAAAGTAATATAAAATTACTTATTCTTAGTGTTTTATTGTATTTTGTAGTTTGCTTGTTTGCTGTTGTTACATTGATGTTAATGGAGATTTGTAAGGTGACCTTGATTGTCATGAAAGGTGCCTATAATTAAAAATGAATGAATGAAAAAAATACATACATTTAATAAATTGACTAATGTAAAGTTTTTGAATGTACTAATTGAAGATATTTATAATGTTTCAAAAGATTACATTTCAATTAAATGTTGTTCTTTTGAACTTTATATTAATCAATAATGTTAAAATGTATGATAGTTTCCATAATCATATTAAGCAGCACAACTGTTTTCAACAACAATAAAAATAAAATGTTTCTTGTGCACTTATTCATCAGATTACATATGATTTCTGAAGGATCATGTGCCTCTGAAGACTGCAGTAATGATGCTAAAAATTCAACTATCATCACTGTTATATTTTTAACAGTTGTGTATGCAATTAATTATGCTAAATTTATTTGACCAAGTAATCAGTATATCATGTAGTTCATTTGATTAAAATACACCAATTACCCTTAGGGCTGCACGATAAATCGAAATGGAATCGAGATCGCGATTCGACAGAAGCTGCGATTGTCATGCGTATCTTTCAGTGAAGCACGGTTCTGTGATCAGCAGTAAATCTTCATCCAAAAGCCAGAGGGTGCTCTCGCGCTGAAACTCCAAATACGCCTCGCAGAAGAAACCCAGAAAATGCCTATTGCTGCAGCTGAATAAACAGAAGATTCAACTGCTTTCATTTGATTCAACGTGACTAATAAACACGACTACGGCAATAGAATCGCCATAGTTCTTATTATTATAATTTTCATTAAAATAAAGTATATTTATAATGCAATGCCTTTATCACTGCTTAAATACTATGAAATATGTTGCGTGCCTTATTCTGTGAAAGAAGCCACATCATCTCACAGAAGGATTTATTTCAAACACTCGACTGACGTTATGAAGTGAGTTTGGAGTAAAAATATGTTATTAAATGTGGTATTTTCACATGCTTTCAGAAGGAGCAGCATTTACTTCACAGAGCCGTAGTTCACCGAGAAGCTATGCAAACAGCTGTCATTATCGCAAATGATTTCAGATGCGTTTGCGATTTTTTTTTGCATAACTTGTCAGTGAACTACGGCTATGTGTAGTAAATTCTGCTCCATCTGAAAGCACACGATGATGATGATTTCCTGCTGATTACAGAACCGGCTTTTTTAACAAAATGCGCATGACAATCGCATTCGATTAATAGTGCAGCCCTAATTACGATCTCAATAAAACCTTTAAAATATTTGTTTTGAAGAGATTTTTTTACTGAGACAGACACACACACCTTAGGATACACCACCAGTCCTTCAGTGATGTTCTGCAGAGTGCTGAGGATGATGTCTGCTGTGAGGAAGGACTCAGGCAATGAGATCCTCCTGAATACACACAAAAAGAAAATGTGAGACAGTAAGCTGCTGCAAGAGCGAGTGTAAAGTTACATCTACACAGAGTCAAAACAGTGCAGTGCAACATCGTATGGTCAGACCACAGATATGGTAACAGTGCCTGTTAGCGCTGTCGTCCAGGGTTCTTTCCAGCCACTGCACTGCTGCTGTCTGCAGGGGGTCTGACACCAGCGCCATCAGGTGACGAGCAAGACTGCAGCAGCGCTCCGCACGCATGGGGTTTCTCTTGTACGGCATGGCACTGGAACCTGCAGACAGAGAAAAACATGACGGATCAAAGGTTGATTTATTAAACGATTACATGAAATTCTGTCTCTCACATGCAAACTCACCAATCTGCTCTTTCTCAAATGGCTCCTCGATTTCTTTCAGATTAGCCAACAGACGGATATCAGTGCAAATCTACAGCAAAAATGTATTGAGAAAAGGAGGATGTTCTAATCAAACAACTGATGTCTGTTGCTGTTCTGTGATCATTGTAGACTTTTACAGCAGCTCATTTATAAATGCATAAAGCTGATCGGAGTTCATTATTTGTGTCTGACCTTATGTACTGTGGCTCCGAGGCTGGCCAGCACACAGAGCGAGTCGATATCCACCTTACGACTGTACGTCTGACCTGTCACCAGGTATGATCTGGTATGAAAATAAGTGGAGGAACCATGTGCACATGAAGTCATATACAATGTAAGATTCTAGCCAACAACACGCTATTGAATAACATGAAGTATTTAGTAACAATGAATGCAGAAAGTAAAGAAGAGTGTACTTTTTAAAACCAGCCATCTCAGTGACCTTCCTATCCAACTCCTCCACCTAACAGATAAAACAGACAAAAAAAATTAAGAAATAACGCCAGTTCAACCATAGAATAAACCACAAAGACATGAAGTCATTGACATTTTCCCCAGCAAAACTGTACATTACACAAACCGTTTTAAAGCTACATAAAACCCAAACACAATCAATGCTGATGTTCTGGGGTAACAATGGCAAGAGTTTAATTCCAACAAAGTTGGTCAGTATTTGTTTAATACATATGAAAGAAGACTCTTATATACGCATCATGGCTGCATGTATTTGATTAAAAAAAATATTAAGAGTAAAAACAGCAATAATATGAAATATTACAATTTAAACTGTTTTCTATTTGAATATATTGTAAAATGTCATTTATCGCTGTGAAGGCAAAGCTGAATTTTCCTCAGCCCTTCATTTAGTGTCACACATTTAGTATCAGAAATCATTTCTTAAGCATTTCTTATTAATGTCAATGTTTAAACTGCTTTTCTATTCAATTTTCCAGTTTAATATTTTTGTGGATGTGTATCAATGGAGGAAATTCAAGACCACTCTTACCCTCCCCAGGAGTGCTCCACCAACAAAGAACACTCTAAAAGCAAGACTTGTAATAGTCTGCGAGATTGCAAAGGACTGCAGGCTAACTTCTAAGCAACTAAAGGCGTTTCTCACATTGGCTAATGTTAATGTCTATGAGCCCATCATCAGGAGAACACTGAACAACAATGGTGTTCATGGCAGAGTCGCAAGAAGAAAGCCACTGCTCTCCAAAAAGAACATTGCTGCCCGTCTGCAGTTTGCTAAAGATCACGTGGACAAGCCAGAGGAATACTGGAGAAATGTTTTGTGGATGGATAAGACCAAAATAGAACTTTTTGGTTTAAATAAGCAGCGTTATGTTTGGAGAAAGAAAACACTGCAATCCAGCAGAAGAACCTTATCCCATCTGTGAAACATGGTGGTGCTAGTGTCATGGTTTGGGCCTGTTTTGCTGATGGAACAATGAATTCTGAATTATATCAGCAAATTCTGAAGGAAAATGTCTGGACATCTGTCCGAGAACTGAATCTCAAGAGAAAGTGGGTCATGCAGCAAGACAACGACCCCAAGCACACAAGTCGTTCTCCCAAAGAATGATTAAAGAAGAACAAAGTTAATGTTTTGGAATGACGGAGTCAAATTTTGTGGAAGAACCTGAAGCAAGCAGTTCATAGAAGGAAACCCACCAACATCACAGAGGTGAAGTGGTTCTGTACTGAGGAATGGGCTAAAATTCCTACAAGCCATTGTGCAGGACTCATCAGCAGTTACAAGAAACGTTACTTGCCGTTATTGCTGCAAAAGGGGGTCGCACCAGATACTGAAAGCAAAGATTCACATACTTTTGCCACTCACAAATATTTAACACCAGATCATTTTTCTCCATAAATAAATGACAAAGTATTTATTTTTGGCTCCTTTGTTTGATTCTCTTTGTCTCTCTCCGTCTACTTTCAGGTGAAAATCTATTTGAAAATCTATTTTGAAAATAAAATTTGTGTGAAAATCTAATTATGTTTTGGGTCATATTTATGCAGAAATATAGAAAAATCTAAAGGGTTCACAAACTTTCAAGCAGCACTAATATATATATATATATATATATATATATATATACACACACATACATATATACATACATACATACATACATACACACTTCTATTAATTGCAACATTAAAATTAAAGAAATTGATTTAATTCATGTTCCCTCTATAACCATTCGGCTCAGGAAATTCCAGGAGTCCATGAAATAAATCCATGGAGTCCAAACAATAGTAGCCAAAGTAACAGATAATAATGGCACGGTAATATTTTGGCCTCACCGTATTGTCTCCCACATAACAGGAAGTGGCGCCCAAGTGGATGATGGGAGCAGCGGCGGGACAGCAGTGAGCAAACGTATGGACGTGAGCCATGACATCATGTCTCAACTTCCTCTCCTCCTCCGCAGCCATGACGAAATCAATGTCCTCCAAGTGAGACGCCATCTCGCTCACCTGGGCATCGGTTATGGAGAGACCCAATTCCTGCAGAGAGGATATATTAGAGCGATAAAGAGATAGTTGCGATGAAGCTAGGGAAATATCTTTTCAGTATCATCTTTATTTAATTGTGCGTTCTCATTTCTATTATTTATGTTACATTCAACACCATCTAGCACTCGCTTAAAGTTCATCTTTAGAAACATCATTTATTAAGACTGTTAAATGGAATTTGTAGCAAATCGCAAAATAAATTAATTACTTTTAGCCTATACATAACCGATTTTATTTTTTAGGATTTTTACATTATAATAATATTTTTATAAAAACAAATTGTAAAGTAAATGTTTTCTCATAATATTGGCCAAATCTGCAATATCAGTGCAACATTAGAAAATGGCTGACAGTAAACCGAAATAAGCACATTCACTTCATCTTTAGCAATACACAGACAGAGCGAGGGTAAAGGTCAACTCTCAAGAGCCACTCTCCTGTTACCCTGACATTAACATTAGTTATTTTTGGAAATACACACTCTTTCCCAGGGCTGTCTGTGCCGCCTCAGTGTCCCGAGGACTACATCAGTAAAGTTCTGTAGCGTAACTTTATTTCCAGAGCATGATCATACGAGCAGCGAACAGAATCCTGTCGGTCTCCACAGGTCAGAGAATGACCACCATGTGACCACATGACTGTGTTCAATTAAGTGCTAGTCAAACAGACTGTGGCCTTTATTTGGAGCTTTATGGATTACTGGGTGATCACACAACCTTAGTTCTTGATTTCTTTACACAAATCAAACAAACAATCAATATGACGATCGACACATGTCAGCTAAACAAGCAAATTTCACCGTTCTACACTCAGTAATATCCATTTCTAATCAAGTCGACTATTGTTGGTCTCAGCAACTGATTATCTGTTATCTGAATTTGAGGGTTTTCTTCTAATACTACTAGTCCCATCATTATCTTCTAAATGGCTTACTGGGAATTTAAGGTTTGAGAAATTTTGACAGAGAAGGTTTGACAGAGCCACATACACAAGACATATCGAGACCCAGTTTGTGTGTGTAAAATAGAAAGATATAAAAATGCATGCAAAATAAACCTACTACAATAAGCATACTACATACAAAAATACAATTGTGCAAATAATCATACTGCTGTAGTTTTAGACACATTGCTATGGTAATATATTATACGTGTTCCATAGTTAAGCCATGAATAGAAGTACATTGGACTAGCATGTACAAAATACCATCGTACATAATTATAGCAACATTCATAATTATAGCAACCATGATATGATATTGCACCACTTACAAAGAGTACCAGGTGATATTGTTGTTTCTGTTCATATACAATGCAAGCACCATGGTATTCTTGGAAAAACCTTACAGCATGGCACATACAATTCAGTACTATCATATATATATATATATATATATATATATATATATATATATATATATATATTACAGTACTACAATACTACCACTTAATACCATCAATGTACTATGGTATCACCTCAGGACTTTTTGTCTGGTCCACTTGTAAAACATTAAATATTGCAACACAACTCATGTCCACCCTTTTAAACTATTTTTAGACTAAGAGAGCTGGCAACTTGAGACTTCCACTCACTCAAGGTCAAAAACCTAAGACAGAGTCACACTTAGCATTCAGAGAATCACAGGGCCAACGTAATTACTCTATAGATAGTCTGTAGAAATAAACCCAAAATAAATAAACGGACCTTTTCGGCCATAGCGAGGTAAAGCCACAGTCTTCTCCATGTGGTGAATTTTTTCCTGTCGCTGAAGTTGTAGGCCATCTCTTTGCTGGCGTACCGGGACACCAGCGGTGAGCGGTATTTCATGAACTCTTCCCCGGATCCCTCCATTACAGCAGCGGGTCAGTGCAGCGCTGTCCACACGCGGACTACAAGTCTGCTGCGTCTTCTTCTTCTTCTTCTTTCGGGTTTAATGGCGGTTGGCAACTCATCTCAAAGGTGCATTACCGCCACCTACTAGACTGGAGTGTGGGCATTAGACTGACATCAAAGGAGTGGAGAGGGAAGAGAAAAAAATAATAATAATAAAATAAAAAACAAAACAAAACAAAAAAAATCCCTATTAAATCCTTTCACTTAACCCAGTGTTTTTCAAAAATAACATTAATAAATTGCGTATTCTCCCAGATGTTTTCCCTAATAAATGCTCAAGTGTCATGCTTTGTTCATCCATTTGTGCCTTTAATTCTGCCCTATCTTCTTCATATTTTTTGCAGTCTAACAGTATATGCTTCACTGTCTCTTGTACACACAAGTCTGCTGCTGCAAGTTATCCTTCTTCTTCTTTGAGCTTCTTCTTCTTCTTCTTTGGGTTTTAACGGCAGCTTGCATCCTTAACGTTGCATTACTGCCATCTTCTGGTTCTGGTTATTTCCTATATACTTTAAATCATCATATTCCTGTCCCGTTTTAGTCAGAAAGCAAATCAAATATTTAATTCCTTGTTCACTCCTACTGCAGTCTATTATATTCTTTACTCCACGTCCTTTTAGTCCTATTTTTCCATGTCATTTATCATATCCCTCCTCTGTAATTCATATTTTGAACAATTAATAAGCACATGTTCTACAGTTTAAGGTATTTGGCACTGGTCACAAAACCCAGTTGGATGTTTTCCTATAATATGAAGAGTGCTATTTAATTTATTATGCCCTGTTCTTACTCTGGTCGTAATAGTCTCTTCTCTCCTGTTTCCTCCCTTATTTTCCACAGTGCAAACTCTTTTTTAGTCAAGTATTCTTCTTTGAGCTTATTCTTCTTCTTCTGATGTTTTTTGGCGGTTTTGGCAAACCAACTTAAAGGTGCATTACCGCCACCTACTGCTCTGGAGTGTGGAGTGAACAGATTTGGTAGAGAGAAGGATATATATATATATTTTTTTTTAATTATAATAATAAAAAAAAAGAAAACAAAAAATACCACAATTACAATTTATATTCTTTCCATATTTCCTGTCTTTTTTAGATAACTGAACACTTCTTCTTTAATTCTTGATTGCATTTGTCTATTCCCTAGTAATATCTTGAGTGATACTTTATCATATCCCATCAAACTTAATTTATGATTAAGTTGATTTCTTTCTCTTTCATACGCATCACATTCTAGAAGAATGTGCTTTACTGTTTCTGGATTCCCACATTAATCACATCTTCCATTTTCATGCTTCCCTATTTTGTGTAAATTGATATTTCTTTGAGCTTAACGGCAGTCAGTCTTCTTCTTCTTCTTCTTCTTCTTCTTCTTCTTGGTTTTATGGCGAGTTGCAATCTTTGCGCATATCGGTACCTACTGTGCTATTATGCAATCAGGATTTTTTTTAAATTATATTAGTTGTTCTGTCTCAACTCTGAAGCCATCAAGAGTCCAGGTATCGGTTGGCGCTGCGTGTTTAGCTCCTCCGTCCTCCACACTGAACCCCTTAAACTCCAAACCGAAACAGAACATCTTTTATATTATATTATTTTATCTAGTCCTGTTCTATATAAAAAATTATGCAAGTTCTTCTTCTTCTTCTTCTTCTTCTTCTGGTGTTTTATGGCGGTTTGGCAAGCCAGTGAAAAATAAAAAAGCATTACCTCCCCCTACTGCTCTTTATGGCGGTTTGGCAAGCCAGTGAAAAATAAAAGTGCATTACCGCCACCTACTGATCTGGAGTGTGGAGTGTGCATAGATTTGAAAGAAGGGGGAAAAACTAGATTCTATCTATTGTTCCTGTGTTTTTCAGGTATTTAAATAATATTTCATGCACTCTTGATTGCTTTGACCCATTTCCTAACAATACTTTTAAAGAAATATTATCTAATTAATTATTGAATTAATTGAAATCTCTCCCTTTCATATGCAGAACACTCAAAACGAATATGCTTCACTGTTTCTGACTCTCCACATTTGTCACACTTTCCCGATTATGCTTCCCAATGAAGACTATAGTTTAATGCTGTATCGTACGTCCAATTCTTAATCTCGAAATGATGACATCTTTCTTACTGCCTCTCATTTCCAACACACTCCTTAATCTGTAAAAGATGTCTTTCTTTTGACCCACTATTCCATAACTTTTGCCATATCTTACTTATTTCAATTGATAACACTGTCTTGAATTCAGCTTTACTTAAAGCTTAATTCATTTCTATCTGTGGATGATTTCTGGTGCAAGTTTCCAGGAGGAGACTTAAGCTGCGTCTCAAATGATGCACTATACACTATGCACTCTTATGCACTATGTACTCAATCATGTAGTGTATGAATTTTATAAGGTTATTTTGCCCCTCCGCATCAGAGTCTGATAGCCCCTCCCCCTATAGCTAAGTAATTAAAGTTGAGTGCATGAAGTGTCCAACATTCCACACTTAGTTTTTTCGATTATTTAAGTGCATCATCCGGGTATTTAAAGTTAACTTTTTCTGTTTGGAATTTTCAGTGAACGCACTACTCGCACTATTTATACTAAAAACCGTCATAAACTAGTGCATAAGAACGCGATTTGGGACGCACCTTTAGATTCTTCTTCTTCTTCTTCTTCTTCTTCTTCTTCTTCTTCTGTGGATTATTGGCGGGTCGAATATAAACGTTTTAGGTGCATTCTGCTCTGTGCTGGAGAATTAAGTGATTTCAGTCTGTACATGATGAGATCTAAATTCTATATTCAGTGCACTATTCTTGATTAATTTGAAAACTGTGTTTATTCTACCAGATCCTTATTTTGTGTTTAATAATTGGCTTACAAGATTTGCGACAGTTCTGATAGAGGAACGGCAGAGAGCATAGTGTAGGTTTGATCATACATATGTATAGGTTAACATATACATATACAAATGATATATATTTGTGCTGTCAAATGATTAATCACTATTAATCCCATCCAAAATAAAAAAAATTGTTTACATAGTATATTTGTGTGTACTGTGTATATTTATTATGTAGCCTATATATAAATACATACACATGCACGTATATATTTAAGAAAAATATGTTACGTTTATATATTAAATATATTTATATATATAATATAAATTATATGAATATAAATATATACATGTAAATATTTTCAAAACATATGCTGTATGTGTGTGTCTTTATATATACATAATAAATATACACAGTACACACACATATAGTTTTTTGTTTACATAATATATGTGTGTATACACAGTACACACACATATATTATGTAAACAAAAACTTTTATTTTGGATGCGACAACACTAATATATATATATATATCAAATTTGATGCCATTTAGTGTTTCTGCTTTTAGGTTTTAAAATGTGATCAATAAGCAAGATAATATACAGATAAATGAGAGAAATAAATGCTTTATGCGTATGGATATTAACAGAAAATGTTTGTTACGTTTCATTAAATATGTTTAGCATCTCTAACAAGACTCTATGTTAATGCCTTATTTAAAGAGATTTTCTCAAAGTCTCCTTTGTATAGAGCCATCCTCTGATATTTTATTCTAAGAGTTTATCATCCCAAGTAATCTAACAGATTCAATGTTCTACAACAGTCCCGAGTTTTTAATATTCTAATAATGTTTAGCTAAATTTTATATTCACAAAACAATAGTTGCTTTTTGTAACTATTATAATTATAATTGAATCCCTTTCAAATATTAAAACACAGAACCCTGGACTTTGCAACTTGTAAAGCTTTTCAAATTTGTGTAATTTTATTTGTTTAATTGTTTTCATTCATTCTGTTTTTTTTTTCAAACAATTGTTTAATTATATAAATATTGCTTTATGATTTATCTAATTTGTACTCACCATACTGCTGTATGATATAAGAATGCTTTTTCTGACTTAATATATGACACTTTACAGTTTTAGAGAGATGTTTTCTTTGCATTGGTGTCCCTTGCTCTAGTGTTTCAGTGCTGCTGGGTTTAGGTCAGACTGCAGAATCAGGAGGGCAGGGCTAAACTTGATACTTCCATGATTTCATTGGTCTAATGACAGCCTTTGCTCCACCCCACAAATTACTATGTATTACTACCCAAGAATTGTGGGAGGCTGCTTACGGTATAATATTAGTCAAACTCAGCCCACTAGTGCTCATAAGATTACAATCACAAGCCACATATTTTTTTCACTCACTCACTCCTCCCTACATCCCTCTTCTTCTCTCTAGTTGCTTCTTTCTCCCAGCTCCCTCCTGCTGTTTGTCCCTGAATGTATCATTTCATGAAAGAAAGAGGGTGAAAAGGAAGCAAAGGGAAAGGGTGCAAGAGTGTTGTATAATAATTTTAAATCAGTTGAAGAGGGAGGGCAAGAGAGTAGGAGGGAGATGAGAGGGGAGAAGGACATGTTTTGAGCACAGGCAACTGGCTGCTGAGACTACACAGCAAGAGAGAGAGCAAAAGGGGGAGAAAGAGAGCGAGACGAGGAGACGCACCAGCTAGACACAAGATGGCTACAGTCTCTTCTGATTTAAATGCTGGTAAGTGGCACTAAACTTTAATTTCAATTCATCTCACTAGTATGCCGGACAGTCTTTCACTTTCAAATCCCACCTACACACACAGCTGACTCACTTCCCTTCTGTATTACATGCGCTTCCTGTGTATCAGGGGATTTCTAATGCACACTAGAAAGTCTTGGCTGTATCTAGATCAGTTTGCCATCATATAAAAGCAGATGCCCACAAAAATGTAATTCATTCTGTTCCTGGATCAGCATTAAAATGAGCTCATAAGGATAACGGTTAGGTTTGATGCAGCATTGCTGGAACTCTTACCATCTGCTGGATTGTACCAAACCTAACAGAGACAGGGCATAAATGCCTGAACTCTTGCAGAGGATATGGTAGCAGAGAATGGACAGTAACCTTTCTTACCCATCAGATATAAATGTTATTTTCCAATCATAGGACCAAATATTTATTTTACCGAAGAATTTACCAATTAATTCTTTAAAA